CGAGAATAAGAAAAAAGCAATTTATTGTAAATATCTTCTACACGTTATATATTTAAAAATTAGGAAAATAATTAATAAGGAAATTAATTTAAGAAAATTTATTTTATATCACATATGTGCGTATATAAAAATAATACATAAAAATACTTCAATAATAACTTATTATCGCTGTAATATATACTAGAATGGCAAAACATCACGCACACCTAATAAAACATTAATAAATCCATAATATTTCTCCGCAATTTTGATCCATATATAATGTGTTTAGCACGGACATGCACCAACCGGTCATTTTACCATGGCTTCAAAAAGTGGATCTGGCCATGTAGTTCCACCGGCTCTAAAATGAATCTAGTTGACGTTACTGTACCAATTAGAAAATGTGTCTTATGAAAAACGGCGGCGTGACCCCTCTCAGGCTTCTATCTGACAATAGAAAAAAATTCAATTGCATCCAACTGGTCCAACTGCATATGCGCGCGAATCTTTTGCGACTAATCAATTTTATCATGCTAATTAATATAATTTTATTTTGCCCCAAATAATTTATTTAGTTCAAAGCTGAAAAAGAAAAGAATGAAAAAAATAAATGGCAAGGAAGCTCTGGGATTAAAGACCGGATAAAACGACTTTATCCTTTATCATCTCATTCCAGATACAGGAAGCGTAACGCAACGCAACGAGGAATAGAATCTGCTCTGCTGAAAGATTCGCTCTCTCTGCATTCATTATACACACATATATATATGTATTTTCTTCCCCTATTCCTCGCATTTTTTATTTTTCCGCTCAAATATCCCAACTCCGTGTCTCATTCATTCGCATGCAATTCTCTCATTTGTATTTAGATTGATTTAGATCGACTGCAGAAACCACCGAGTCGAGTGTGGACGAGCGTGCGCCGGCGTGCGGAGGGCGAGAAGGGCAGCGATGCGTCGCGACGCAGCGGCGCGCGCGCGGCGCGCTGGTACGTTCGTCGAGCGATTGCGGGGTCCGTGGGACACGACGGCGCGACGCGACACGGTGTGAGTGAAACTGGGTTCGACATGTTTCATCGGCGATGCGGCCATCGTGTCACCCTCAGCAACAATAATTGCACCGCCACGCGCAATTTCTCCGAGTACAATTACGGTCTGGTGTTTAGCGCTGAGCCGCTCCAGGATGACGAGCTCTTCGAAGTCACCATCGACAAGAAGGTATGTACACGCGCGCGCTCCACACACACACACACGACACGCAAATATTTTTCCCGACAAACTCTCGCGCCCATGTGTACAGCCTTGTAACGCAACCAAGTGCACCATCTTCTGCGACAATCTCAACGCGAAATAATTGTGGAGTACAGAATGTCTTGTGCACGTGGTACGATGTGTTGTGTTTGTCGACAGACAGAAACATCTTTTGTATTATTTTCCTCATCGGGTGCTCGCGCGTTTGAAATGTCTAATTGGATTTCTTCGAGAGATATGATAGCACACAGATCGATAAATATGTATTTTATTAAAATTCCGATAATTGCATTTTATGTATTTGTTTATTATCTGTTTATTATAATCTTGCGAAAACTGTTATATATACATTTAAAAAATTATACAGATGATATCATGGAGTGGCAGTATAGAAATTGGAGTGACAGAATGCAATCCAGAGACATTGGAAATACCATCCTGTGCCATAAACCTTCGCCATGGATCTTGGATTATGACTGGCTGTGGCATAGTTCACGATGGAGATCGAATTGTCGATATGTATGGAACGGATCTTAATGATTTAGAGGAGGGAAATACTTTAGGAGTAATGCGAACATCCAATGTAATTTATAATTCATTATGATCTATGATTTATTCATATTCTCTAGATAGTAATTAATGATAATTTTCTATTTGCAATTATAGCATGAACTACTATTCTACATCAATGGTGTTTCGCAAGGCGTTGCTGTCAGCAATATTCCGGAGCGTATTTTTGCCGTTGTAGACATGTATGGTGATTGTGTACAAGTCAGTGTAGCTCATCCCAGACTTGCCACTTTGTGTAACATGCCGAAAGACGAAGTCGAGATTAATAATGATTATGTTATGGGGGAAACCTCCAGTTCCTCAACAACAAATCTAGTCGCTAACTTAAATGTTAATTTAAATGTCAATGTAAATGTTAATTTACCGAAAAATCCCACCCCCGCCGCAATAAGAGAAGATAGATTGAAGTTTCACGAAAGAGTTGGAACGTTGGTGAAGCTGTCCAACAATGCCAGAACTGCTGAGAGGCGGAGACCGCTCGATGAGTTCAACAATGGTGTTGTAATGACACATAGGCCACTACGGGATAATGAATTATTCGAAGTAAGCATTCAGAAATATGTAAAATTACACAAGAGCACTTGAGTAAATTGCAATAGCATAATTAAATGATTTTTTCTTGTGATTATTATTTTATGTCAAAATAATTTACTATTTCTTATTTACTTCATAAATTGCGAAACTATTACTTGTAGATACGAATAGATAGATTAGTTTACAAATGGTCGGGAAGCATAGAAGTTGGTGTTACAACTCATAGTCCTACAGCGCTAGAATTTCCAGCAACAATGACCAATATGCGTTCTGGCACAACAATGATGTCCGGCTGTGGTATTTTAACAAATGGTAAAGGCACACAACGGGAGTACGGAGAGTTTAACTTGGACGAATTGAGGGTAAAATAAGACTAGATTTATAATGCTGAACCTATTGTTTTACTGTTTCTCTTTTGCATCAAATTTATTGGGCATCATTTTTTAGGAAGGAGACCGTGTGGGAATGATTAGGCAGAGTAATGGAGATCTTCACTATTTAATAAATGGTTTGGATCAAGGTATCGCTGCTAAAATACCAACAGGTGTGTGGGGTGTAATAGATCTTTATGGAATGACTGTAAAAGTAACCATTGTCGATCGTGACGAAAGAGAAGAACAAAATCTAGTTACAAGGAGAAACACATTGCAGCTACAGGGTCTGGAAAGTGAAGGTAATAATATGCGAATATCCATTTTTTATATAAATGGAAAGTGCTGTTATCATTGATATTTCTAATATAATGAATTTTGCAGAAGTTGGAGAAGAGGAATTACCTGATAGACTAATGTTTCATCCCTGTTGCGGAACACATGCCGATGTAATCAACAACGGACGTACAGCACATAGACCTAAGTAAGTGAAAAAATATATTTATTATTCATCTAATAAATATTCTTCGAAATTATTATCTAATCTCTTCTTAACAAATATAAATTTTATTTGCACAGTGCCATAGATGACTTCAATAATGGAGTAGTATTAACTTCGAGACCATTGAAGCCCAATGAGCTGTTCGAAGTCAGATTAGACAAAATCGTCACGAAATGGGCCGGTTCTATCGAGATAGGAGTTACCACGCATTCCCCAACGGAATTGGAGTTTCCCTTTACCATGACAAATGTCAGGTAAGTAAGGCCGCGCGCATCGGTTTTAAGCCATCTTACAAACCATGAAGAACTACGAAGGGCGCGGTAAGTTGTTTACCCGCTTATGTTGTTGCTCGAAGGTGGCTCATATCGCTTGCAGATCCGGCACGTGGATGATGACGGGCAACGGCGTGATGCACAACGGTACGACGATGATAGATCAATACGGTCAGAATCTGGATCGTCTGCAGATCGGTGATCGTGTAGGCGTGATGAGAAAAGATAACTCGACCCTGCACTTTTATGTGAACGGCGCGGATCAGGGTGTGGCCGCAATGAATGTACCGGAAAGAGTCTACGGTGTAATTGACCTCTACGGGCAGGCCGCCCAAGCTACCATAGTTGATAACGTAGACTTTTACAGTCCGACTACAAACAATTCTAGTTTTAGCAATACAACGTTGTACAGGTGCGATTATCTGACAAAATTGGAGATACAAATTTATAGATTTATTGATATTATATTGTTGAACGTGTATATATATATATATAATCGTGCGATTCTGTTGACAGTGATCTAAGGTTTCATCATGTACATGGTAAAAATGCGAGAATCACGAACAACGGTTTGACAGCGTCCAGACCGCGAGCTCTGGGTGAATTCAACGAAGCTATTGTAATTGCGAATCGCGCGCTACGCGACGGTGAAATGTTCGAAGTGACGATAGATAAAATGGTTGCTAGATGGTCTGGTGCTATAGAAGCAGGTAATTGCTATCCCAATTATATATCTGTCAAATATAATAAGAGTTGTCCATATAATCTCTTACATAAAATCACAGGTGTTACTGTGATAAGACCCGATGAATTGGAATTCCCATCTACGATGACGGATATCGATCATGACACGTGGATGCTCTCAGGATCGACAGTAATGCGCGACGGAGTTACGTTGCGCAATAATTATTCTTGCGATTTAGATAAATTAATGGAGGGCAATCGGATCGGAATGATGCGATGTTCGGATTCTTCCTTGCATTATTTTTTGGATGGAGTAGATCAGGGTTCTGCTTGTACGGGTCTACCACCAAACGTTTATCCAGTAATCGATCTATATGGACAATGCGCACAGGTATAACGAATGACGCTCGCTCGATAATGACAAAAATCGCACGTTTTTTAGCGCATTTAATTCCAAGTGTTTTATTTCAGGTGACGATTGTGTTGCCTGAGCGCAGGGATCCGCTGACACAGCAGTATTTACCGTCGGAAAACAGTATTAGTCAACAGCCGACTTCGGTGATCCAACCTCAGGCGCAAACGGAGATTCTGCACAAGTTTCACGAATCGGTTGGACTGAATATACAATTGAATAGTGATAGAACGGTAGCAACTAGATGCAGGGAATACAATAATGCCGTGCTTTTGAGTGACGCTCCTCTGGAAAATAACGAGCTATTCGAAATCGCGATTCAGGAAGTAGCGCGTGAGTGGAGCGGTTGTCTGAGGTTAGGTGTCTTGAGTAACGAAACAGGGAACTGGTTGACATCGATGAATCTTGTGCCCGGTATGACGTCCATACCTAGTGATGCTTGGTACCTGACGGGTAACGAGGTGAGGCATATGGGTTTCGCGCTCACCTCGAATTATTGCACGAGTCTGGATTGGTTACGGGTAAGCGACAAGATCGGCGTGAAACGCACACCCGAGGGCAATCTCAAGTTCTACATGAATGGCGAGGATATGGGCGTAGCGGCATCTGACATACCGGAGATTGTGTATGCGGTGATCGAGCTCTTTGGCAGTACTGTGGCCGTGAACATCACTAGTAGCAAGCAGCAAAATCCCGTGATATCTCCCAACGCCAGTCTGAGGCTGCAGGATTCGTTGGAGCTTCTGCTGGATCCGATGCCGACGAGGAATGACGCGGGAATGGATACATCTATCGACGTGTCCGAAGGAAAATTAATGAACGAGGCGATGCTTACGCCAACGCAACCCGCCATCGTCAGCGTAACCACTGCCGACGGGGATGGGAACTATGAGTTCCACGAGAATCATGGCAGAAATATTCAGCTGGAAACAAAGACGATCGCCAGGCGAGTAGCTAGTTATAATCAGGGTGTAGTGATGTCCAGTCGACCGTTAATAAAGGGTAAGCCATTCCAAGTGAAAATAGATAAGCTAAATGAACGTTGGGTGTCGAATATTCTCTGCGGCGTTTCCTGCATAACGCCGGAAAAGCAGACAAGCTTCCCGTTGACGGCGCTCGGTTTTAAGAGGCACTCATGGATCATCTGCAGCGACTGGATATTTCACAATGGCATAAGGGTGAAAACAAAGTACGGCGCCGGCTTGGAAAATCTTCAGTGTAACTCTATCGTGGGTTTGTTGATCGACGAAGACAACCGATTGCATTTGTTCATTAACGGCGTTGATCAGGGTGTGGCTGCGACCGATCTGCCGCCGTATGTCTTCGCCGTGATCGATCTGTACGGTCAGTGCGAGCAGGTGTCCATCTCAGGCGTCAATGAAGAATCCACTTATACGAACGTCGCCATCGACAATACGCTCGTGGCTCCTATTGAGTGTACAAGCGTGGAAACAGAAGACGTGGAGAATTCGCGCGAGAAAGCAGATTTAGAGTGTCACGAGAAGGAGAATGCGATGGCAACTACTTCTGATCTCTCGCCATCCTCGACGTCACCGAGTGTACCAAGTCAATGCGGTTCGAGCACCAGAGATGGCAACCTCGAAGCCAAGTATTCGTCTTTTGACAGTGCGAATCTGGCAAACAATAGCATTACTAACAAAGCGGCGTCGAGTGTCGACAGTAACAATTCGGACTCGTGTTCGGGGTTGAATAACGATGCGCGAAGCGCCAAAAATAGAGTGTACCTGGATAATGCCGGACAAGCGCCGTTGAACAATCAGCCCGAAAACAACTCGAGCGAATCTAATCTCGACTCGGCGGGGAATCGCGCGCTTGTGAGTGTTTTAAGTATTCGAAACGAGTGTACAAATGTTGAGATAAACAACGCGACTAACATTAATATACAGAAAGGCATGGTCGCGAGCGCCAGTAACATGACCAGCCTGAATGCGGCGATTACGGCGACGAATGCTAACAATGCGATTAATGAAAGCATAGCGTCCAATAGTCAAGTCGTTAATAGCAGTGTGCAGCAGAACAATCTATCGGATCTACCCAACAACGTTTGTTCCGGCTTCCACGAACCACGGTCTTACGCGAGTCGGGACAACGTCGCATCGATCCGCGACAACTCAATATTCAACGGGAACATACTTCCGAGCCAGAACATGATAGTCAACCAAACGCGGGACACGACCTCGATACCGCTGATGCCGTCATCGTTACCGTCCACTCCACTCGGGTCTACCATCGTCGCGTCAAGAAAGTGCGACTATCTAAAGGCGTGCATGCAGCTGAAGAAGTCGCTTGTTCTGCCAGACGAATTCTTCTCTACCGACGAGATACTCTGCTACTGTAGTACGTGCTACAAGGTGGACGGTGATAACGCGATCTGCAAAAAGGGCGAACCACCTGCAGAATTCGCGATACCGGTCGGCTGGACCAGGTTCCCGTTGAAACAAAGCATTAATGCCAATCAGATCCCACAGAGCACGACAGACAAGTGGCACGTTGCGTTCTACGGTATACGACTAGATGCGATAAGGTAATACGAATAATCTCAGAGCGAGATTTTTTTATCTCTTCTCGATATATTGTTTATCATATTAACTTATACATGACGCATGTATAGATTGATCTTAGATAGAGGAGAGCTTATGACCAAAGAGCAATTAGACGTGAGCAACTTGACAGCGGGTACAAAAAGCGAGGATCAGAACTTGCAGGTATCGTTCTCGCCCAGCATCAAGTACGCTGCGTCCGAGGAATTTACTAGAAAGTATCCGTGAGTAGCTTGTTTTATATAAAGAGACGTGCGCTCTTTTATATCGTAAATTTAAAATATAATTTAATTTTGTCAACTTTTTGTATATAGGTATATCGATATGCAATCGAATAAAAAACTGAACGTGTCGACAGCATTCCAATTGCTGGTAAGACCAGGCTCGTATACGATCAGTCCCGCTGACAAAGACAGCACCGATCTGCACTGCGAGTCCAGTAAGTGGGCCACTAAAGAAGCCGGAGCCACAGTAATCGTCGCCTTGCTTGTTCATCTGGACGGATTTTAATCCGTCTCTGTTTTGAAAGTGTTTTCATGGACTTAAGTGTCATCACATCGATCTGCATCCAGCAACGGACCGTGAGTGATTGTACATACATACGTACGATGTGCCGATCATGTTGAGAGACAGTCTTGTGATCGATGTTTTAATTCCGTCGAAATCGCGTCGTATATTTATGTTAGACATCGCGTAAGTTCTCCTCGTGCGCGTACGGCCATTTAAGAATTGTGTCATCATGATTCATATAGTAGAGATTAATCGAAGTTTTAGGGCATCTTCTTTAACGTTGCTACGTTTATTGTGTACAGTATAGATAATTGTGTAATAGAGTTTACATCCGTTTATTTATATATAGAATATATAGAATATACATATAGAATTCGACTCTCGAGCTTCGACTAGGAAAAGATTATTCACGAATTTGCTGGATAGTTATGGCAATTTTATGACATACTATAAAGGATCTTTATAAGTTTTAAATGTTTTAACACACGCGTCCCATATATTTGTCGCTAATTTAGGTTGATGCTCACAAGAATAAATAGCATAAATGAAGTATATCTCACCACGGCAGCGACCAGATTCGCCGAAGAGAACACAAGTATTTTTGATGTTCATCGATCGCTTCATGCCTAATCGATATACCAAATCCCTATTATATTGCATTAGTAAGTAAATTTCAAAACATGCGCGATACGATTTTTTTAACGCTCTCTACAACATCGATAGAAAAAACGAATCGTGTAATATGTCTATGTTATAGAAATAAATAATGCAAATGCAACTCGCATTGCCACAACCAAATGTGTGGCTTACGAATTAATTAGATTATCATTTTTAAGGATGGCAAGAAAATTCATTTTAAAATTTATCAAACATCACTCGTGCACAATTATAGTTCGTAAGCTACACTGCTGATAAGAAAGATAATATTAATATAATTATTCATGAAATGGAGATTTATTTCCGACATGTAAAATGGATCCGAAATCAATATCTCGAAGAAATTTATATATTTTGTAACACTTAGTTTAACAATGGATATAAGTTGCGAACGCAGTTTAACATAAATCAAGATATGATTTGTATTGATGACGTAATTGTAAAATGAAAACGTTAATGAAAAAAGCAGCTTATGTCGATAAGAACTTAATTGAACTAGGATCGCTGTGCAGGTTTCGTGCAAGAAGAATCGATCGGCTTTTAACATCAATATATTTTTAGTAATATATTCCGTCCGGTGTCTTCTCATCGATCACTTTTACTCACTATAATCACGTAAATCACATGCTATGTTCACACCCAAATTCGAACGTACTGATCCCAGGAGCAACTGGCTATTGCCATCCCGTTGCCAGCGACACTGAGCGACGTCACTCTGTTCTCATGGCCCGACAAAACACCTTGAAATAAGAACAAGCGTTTTTAAAGTTAACAAAGAGAAGAATTTTAAAAATCATGTCCAAAAATGTGATTGATACAAGACGCAACGAAATCAATCTATAGATCTTGGATATATTTAACATAATTATTTTGCATTATAAAAATACAATTCTTCAGTACGAGACACGAATCGATAGACTTACCATTGTGTTGGTTCTTCAACGTATCCCATATGTGAATGGAATTATCGTCACTGCCGCAAAATATGAATCTGCCGCTTAAAGACAAGCCGCATGACGTAAATCCGGGATTCGAGCTTGGCGGCTTGAAGGTGGCCAATTCCTGATCGGATCTGAAGTCCCACAGTCTTGCCGTCTTGTCCTCGGACGCTGTTACGAAACCTTGCCCGGAAGGATGATACTGGATAAACAAAGCGACAATTGGTCAAGAATACATATATAGCGAACGAATTTAATAAATTCGCAATGTATAATTTACTGAAATATCTTTAATACGCGAATTTTGAAAGCACTTACACAAACGGAGTTTACATCAGCATCATGACCGAAGAACGTCTGCTTGGCTTTCTCTTCTCGTAGATCCCACAGTTTGCAAGTTTTGTCGACCGAGCCGGTAACGTAAGTGTTGCCGTCGGGAGACAAGCTAATGCTCACTACGTCGCCCGCATGCGCCTCGAAATCTGTCGTTTTTTTATTGGCCTCAAGATCCCATATGCAACTAGAGATATACACAAGATATTCACCATTTGCATAATTACTCATAAAAAAATATTGCCTATCCTCAACATTGCTTAATCAGATACATTTTCATGTCGCCGGATCCCGTGATGAGGTTCTTATCATCGAGAAATCTGCAAGACGACAGGAATCCCTCGTAACCCAGCAGCTCCCTTATGATCTTGGCGGATCCCGTGGCGTCGCGATTGTTCACGTCATAGACGGTGCACATGTTGTCCATACCGCCGCACGCGACAAAATTTCCGGACTGCGCGAATGCAACTGACATCACCCAGGCTGAACGCAACGGGATGACCTGCACCTTGTTACCGGTCCATGAATCCCAGATGATCAACTTTCCATCCAATGAACCGGTCACGCAATGTCTACGCGCGTGCGAAAGTATAGATAAATTTAGATCATCAATGATTCTTTCAGTACAATATTAACGATAACAAATTTTCGAGATACGATAAAATCTCTGAGAGCTTTATTAGTACATCGCTATCAAAGCAAATGTGTAAAAAAAAGTAAGAGCGTTTATAGTTCGTGATTGAGGAATCGTTAAATCTGTTTTTTAGACGATCTATGTAATTGACGATAAAATTGGAAAGCGAATTGAAAATTCTATTTATAATTTCATGTCTTGTGTAATATGCAAAAAACATTTGAAAAAGTAAAATATCATGATATAGAATGTACGACGAATTACAGATCGTGTGAAGCACGCTTTACTGACTAGAACTAACCGATTATCGCCGCTGTAATGCACCGAGTTGACTTTATTGATATGCCCTTTCAGCAACTTCTTAGTCGACAATTTAACTTTCGGAGCATCTGCCACTCCGCCGCACGCTTGTTCCAAAGTCGTATCCTGCTGCTTCTTCTGCTCTTCCTGATGAAGCGAATAAGACACAGGGGTAAGAATAAAAACAAATTTATACCGGAAAGTTTTATAACATTCATATATACTAAAAATTATAATTGCGATATAACATTATAAAACACTTAAACCTTGCACTTGTCAATGAGACTCTCCAGTTCTTTCCTTAGGGCTATAGTTTCTGCGTCTTCTTTGCCCATTTTTACCTTTTTATATGTGCGATACGATTTTCACCAGCGCGCCTAGAAGCAAAAGGAAACTAAACGTCACTTACGATTGACATACGAAAACTGTGTAACGATTTTCAACAACATACAGAAGAAGCCTCAAAATCGTCTACCCTGCTGCCCTAGTAATTGTATTAAGTCGTCGGTTAATTCGATTTGTTGGGCATTAGCTCGACTCGTTCGCATAATTTAATTACCTACATACATAGTGACACTTTTCGAAGAAAATATATTATGTATTTCATTTTATTTTTCAAAAGTATAGACATTTTATTCTCAAAATATAAAATGAAACAGGTACAAGAAAATTGCATAAAACGCAGACATAGTATATCTTTATCAATAGGAAGAAAGAAAGAGAATTGATTAGAGATAGTTATTTTTAATACTAAAATGTAAATGTGTATTTTGTTTCTAGACTAGATCGGGTTGAAATGTTTTGTTTACGTTTCATTACAAAACGTCACGGGCCGATGATGACATGTCTGTCCGCGAATAAGAAATCGCGCGAACAAAATCGTCGACACGATCGAGCGACGATTAACCGTTTTTTTCGACCACAAAAACCGTCAATCGTCTCGCTTTCGAGTTTCTCGCTTTCTCCTATAAATGCCCGAATCTTTGGTACTGATCAATACGATTCGTCAAACGGCGATCGGTGCCGGAAAGCGCATGCGATATTTCTCAATTGTAATATATCCGAAAAACAATATAAATTTATTATTGTAGATATATCAACACAAATATTGAAGAAACATGGGAATATACAAATCAAGCAATTATTGAGATGGCACAATAAAATAACAATTCCAGTTCTCAGTGCGTAAAGGAAACTATATGGAGCGTTACGATATAGTACAATTTGCGGCGCATGTGATAACAGTTTTGATAACATGAAGATACCGAGTGTCTCGAGAAGATTGATGCTGTCCATTGTTCTGCTGTTGTATCAAGGAAATCATCTTGCGGCGAGAAATGAAGGAGCGTGCAAGTTAAATTATGATGTTTACGTGCATTCGAATGATCTCCAGTGCCAGGATAATACTTCAGATAATGATTTATCCGTCATCGAGCGATACAGACCTACGAAGCAATTTTGCACGTCAAATTTCGATACGACAGGTATCTTATCTGCTTCATTAATTGCAGTCAAAATTTCATCCTTTTAAAATGATATGCTAATAAAGTTTTTAGAGAATTCTATTTTATATGTAATATAAATATAAATATT